ATAGAAGTGACTATATTAAAAAGATGAATGATATATTGAAGGACACACAGAAGTTTCACAAACTTGAGGAGAAGAAAGATTTCAGTAACAAAATAGAGAATGAATTAACCAGACGTTTGAAGAAACTAAGGGAGGAGCAGATATTTTCTGAAAGGTTATATGAAGAAATCAGACAAACAGGCACGTATACACCAAGATTGTATGGCCTACTTGAAGTGCATTAACCGGGGGTACCGTAAGACCAATACTTGATATGCAAAATTCGCCCTACCATGCTCTAGCTGGATGGTTAGTAAATATTCTCAACCCTTTGCATGAGAAGATAGTGAAATATAGCGTCAAAGATGTATTTGAATTCGTAGGCGAAATCAAAGATATTAATATCAAAGACAAAACCGTGATATCTCTGGACACAACATCTTTATTCACAAACGTACCTCTAGTAGGAACAGTTAACTACATATGTGAACAAGTGGATAACCAGTCAATAAATATTGGCATCCGTACTAAAATCTTAAAAGAATTGTTATGAAGGTGTACCATGAATGTAAATTTCAAATTTGACGGCACGCTTTACAGGCAAGTGGACAGGGTGGCGATGGGCTCCCCACTGGGTGTTATTTTGGCTGATTTCTTTCTAGGTAAGCTAGAAAATGGACCTTTGAACAGCCTTATCAGAAAGTTCTCATTTTATTGCCGGTATATGGATGACACCTTCATTCTTTGTGATAATGATTCGGATAGGAGTACAATAATTACTGAATTCAATGAAGTACATTCGGCTATGAAATTCACGTGCGAAGAGGAATCCCAAAATAGAATTGACTTCCTGGATGTCCTCCTTACAAGAAAATTAGATGGTAGCATAAAAAGAAATTTGCATAGAAAAAGTACTTGGACAGGACAATATACACATTTTCACAGCTTCGTTCCTCTCAAGTACAAAAGAAATTTAGTAAAGACCCTCAGCCACAGAGTTAGAGCTATATGCTCAGAAGAAGTAATTGAAGATGAATTAAGCATTGTATACGATACTTTGATCGAAAATAGCTATCCCGACAAATTTATCAAGAAACATATGACAAAGAAAGCGGAAAAGGACTACTCACTGTCGGTAAACAAGAAGCCTGTATATATACGAATACAATTCATGGGCGATATACCAAGCGAGATAATTACGAAGAAAATCAGTTCAAAGAACTTTTAATGCTGGCGAACTACACATCTTATTATCTCCACGACCGATGGTGATTCCTCGACTGAAAGATGAAGTACATAGACTAGCCACTTCAAATTGTATCTACCAGTTCAGCTGCGCTTGTGGAGCGAGCTATAATAATAATAATTTGCTTTATTCCAAAACAGTACTTGTGATACAGAATGGAATTCTCAGCATTTTTACTACAGTATTGCATCCAGTTAGAACATTATCAATAAATAGAATTCTACATAGATTAAGGAAATCTCAGTTCATTATGACAACAACATATTGGCATGTCGGTAGCAAAGCCAAAGTTGAACAGTGTTAGGTGTTAGAAAAGTAGGTGCTATCATATTTACTGGCGTAAGCGGGAGAAAGGAACAAAGCAGCACATAAGGGAAGAAAAAGAGAGAGAAAAGGAAAAGAAAGGAAGAAAATGTTTAACCTATAAATGATATGAGTTGGAGAAACGAGGTCCAGTTGTTCTACTGACTATTTAATACGTTATAGCTGTCACGCCTAATGCTTTCTTTATCGCACAGAACACAAGCTAAGTAGGGTATGGTTGAGTTTTTGTACTTACTGGTGCGAACATATAGTTTTCTATATACGCTTCTTGTTTTGCTTGATGAGATGCAAGGGGAGAGTTGTGAATGAAGAGGGTGGTGTGAGTTAGATAAAATGGATTTGGCCCATTTTTCACATGAGTCCATGTGCCTGTCAACCAGAATATTAACAAGCTGGTTAAGTGGCACGTTGCTTACCCTGCTGACAACCTTTAACATCCTGCATGATATGTTATAGTCTTTCTTCAGTAGCCCTAGAAAAACTAAGGGGGAACAATAGAGAATAATAGGCAGAATGCGAGAGTTAACGAATTGTAGGAGTAAGGGTTGGGTTATACCAGAATGTCTTAACTTCTTGATGTAGAAGGTAAGACGGAATATTTTCTTAGAAATCGCCAAGATATGAGACGACCAGGAAAGATCAGCAGATAGAATGACGCCTAGGTATTTAATTTCCGACTTGGTTTCTATTTCAGTGCCATCTATGTTGCACACCTCGTGAGAGCCAACCAGTTTGTTTAGGTCGGATTTATGCCTAAAGGTGAAATTGACTGTTTGGCATTTAGAGGGGTTTAAGGTAAGACCGTTTTCCTTGGACCACTGGCTGATTTCTGACAGAAAGCCATTTAGTTTAGAGCAGTCACTTTGACAGGCAAAGATACTGTCAAGTCGTCAGCATATTTGACAAAATTAATGTCATTTGAAGATGGTAAGTCATGTAGAAAGAAAGAAAAGATAAGTGGGGAGAGTACAGCACCTTGGGGGACACCAGCTTCAGTGAGCGCAGCATAGGAGGATTTACCTTTGTATACGGTGTACTGCATTCTGTTAAAGAAGTAGGAATGCAACCAGTTAGTGACCCAGGACTCAGTTTTTGTCATAGAGAGCTTATTTGGCAAGAGACATTTAGCTAAAGAGTCGAAAGCAGAAGTGAAGTCGAGAAACGCGCAGCGGATGTATTTGGCACCTTTATCTAATGATGAAACGATACTGTTGTGTAAGACGGCTGCAGCGTCTAAAGTGCTCCTACCCTGTCTATAGGCAAATTGTTTGGGGTCTTCAAAGCTTTTAAGGGAGGGTTCAAGTTTAAGAAGTACTAGTTTTTCCATAAGCTTTAGAAACGGGGAAGTGATGGCAATGGGTCTGAACTTTACGTTCTTGCTATTTCCAAGTTTAGGGACAGGGACTATTTTAATGTCTTTCCATGCAACAGGTACGACATTTTTGGAGAAAGAAGCATTTAGGATGTTAGTTAGTGGAGAACATAAAGCATCTGCACATTGTTTTAGAACATATGCAGGAATACCATCAGGGCCAAGGCTACGTAAGGGCTTGAACGTTTTAAGACATTTTAGAACATCGAGAGTATTAGTCATGAAAGTTATCAGCTACATGATTGCTAACATTAGAAGTAGTTATAGTAGAAGGACAGTGTATAAAAGACTGATTAAGAGCATTAACATCATAAGAGGGAAAAGCATAACATCGCTTACTATTGCCAGTAATTTCATTAAAAAGTTTCCACATGCTGATAGGAGATTTGCATGATAAAAGTGTATCGGCCGTTGCTCTAGGAGCTTGATTTTTCGTGCTCGAGAACATCTCCCACTATGGTTAAGTAAAGGTGTAGTGAAAACCATTAACAGTTCAATATTGGACCATCTGGTGCGAACCTGCCACAAAGCCAGCGTTGAAGAATCCTTCTCTATCATCTAGCGGGTGCCTAATAAATTGCCAAGAACATCGAAGCACCGCATGCTCCAAACAGCAGAGGCTGTTGCAATTCGCCTCAAACAACCAGTGCTCTGTGTGCAAAAGAAGCAAGTCCAGCCCCTACTACTGTCCTGGCCTTCAGTAGAGACTATAAATTCATGAATTTGTAATATTATCTTTCCTAACTTTTCTGACATTCAGCTTATTTTAGGTTGATGCTATTGAACTGTAATCTATTGATATTATTGGCTCGATGTTATTTAAACATTAATGTTGTTCATAACACTAATTCATTCATCCACTATAAAGTATATATAACTGTAGAGCCTGATGATGAAGTTATCGAAAAGAGTATTCTTTGTTCAGTATCCATCCCACATATTTTTTTAACGATTGGTTCTTGCTTGGTTTGTTCACATAATTTCTCGTTGCTTATTCTCTCTGGCCATTTGCTCTTCAGTATGGAGCGAGCGAAGGTGGCAGCTGTTGATGAAAGTTTGCAGACGCCTGTTGAAAATCATTTTCGTTACACGCGAAGTTTCTGACTTGTACATAGCACACTAAAGAAAGGAAGCTGATTGATACTTCGTTGACAATAAGTAAACCACATATACTAGCCAGATACGTTGGTACTTTCAAAATTTTATGAAGTGCGGCATCGTTGCTTACAAAACGTCAGTATTTTAATTCCACATGAAGGAATTAGAGGACGTATATCCGAGCCATACAATGCATTTGCGCAGTATATTTCGGAGCATCTGAATGCAAATGCACTGTTGCAACCAACTTATTTGAAAATGAAAAGGATAGTACGTAAAAACAGATAAATTAACAGGAAATCTAATTGTAAGAAAGAAGAATATTAGGTAATTCGCGACAATAATATTAATAATCTGGTCAGATAAGAATTGCCGAAGTAGATTAATCATAAAGACTATTTTTTCTTTCAATAAAGGGAGGTTAAATCTATGAATGGTTATCTCTCTGGAAAAATTCAGTATGTGACCGGGCTGCTCCTGCACAAAACCTTAGAGCTTTCTTTGACAGCAGACCTACAACCCACTTTATGGATAAAAAGTGTCGTCTGCATTTATCAAAGTTTGAATGTCTGGTTTTTCAAATCCGTTTTTCACCTGAAAAGTGAGACTATTCTTACCTACGCCAATGTGTAGACAGTCATGTAAAATGATATAGGCAGGACCACGTGACAGTCATTTATAAAATGCTGAAACATCGTGTAGCGATGATGAGTCTTTCTGTTTTACTCATAACAGTTTTTAGAGTAGTTGTATTCTCTGAACTGGATGGTTTCGTTACGATGCCTTCATTGTCTTACTAGACAACATCCTCAACGCATGCTCCAATTCGAATTTGTCCAGTGAGACGATGAAAGCACGAGAAAGTAGATGCCAGTGGGAATGAAGCTAACTGAAAATATCGATATGTTATGAAATTTAACCCGCATTTAGTAGCCATTTACATAAAGCAAAGAAAAATTCTCTCAAAGCGACACAAATTTATTGTGAATTTAGTTTCTAATTTGGGGTATTCGAAAACATTAGACAGCGAAAAATTAAACTAATTTGAAAAAACAAACGCTGATAAGTAACAGTAAGGATTCACATTTTACCCAAATATTACAAGTTATTTCGAGATCAATAAAAAATTAGGGTGATAAGACAAAAGGTTTTTTATAAAGCCCATAGTTTTTTCACAGCTGAAATGAATCCTACATCATTGAAGTTGAAGTACAGTAGACCACCAAAACCGAAGCCACACATTATTTTCCACAATGTACGCAATATAGGCATTAGTGCAGGACCATAGCGGCGTTCGAATGCGTAATCCTTGATCACTCCATCAAAACCCCTGAATGAATAAGAAGAAAAAATGTCAAGTAGTCAATATCGGAAATCACATTCGCCTAAATGACCTAGATTGCCTAAATTCACTTGATAACCAGAGGAAAAAACATGACTAGATAATGCGAATTCTTAAATTTGGATTACTAGAAATAACAATATTAGTATGTTTAGTGTGTGGAGGTAATCAGCAGGATTCTTCACATTTAGATTTCGTGTTTATAGGTAATTGTCCACAAGGCGAAAATGAAAACTTGGATCAACTAGTGCTTAATAAACACTTTAGTGTGTACAACTTCGCAATGCGAAATCACCAACAGTTTGATAAACAAAATTCATGGACCACTTAAAATCCAGTTTATGAGCAACCTTAATCAGGAATTGAATAAGACATAAGCTCTGGAACTACTAAATAGTGGTTCACGTTGTCATACGTTGTGTTTGAATATCTAATAGGTAAATATTAACGGTAGTGCGTAATATCATCTAATCAAAGGTTATACAATAGCAAGAAGGGTTAAACAAGTAGAGAAATGTGATATTATAATTTAAGTGAAACGTGAGTGCCTCTATAGAGTTGTGATTAATTTTAAGTTAGGCCACATACTGTCTTCTACCAAAAGGTTTTTCGTTGGATGGATAAACTACAATCTTCCAAACGATTCAGAAATGACTTCTTCCCTTGGAGTCACTTTAAATAGTTTAAGACGTACCTCTAAGCGCATCCATTTTTCACCTTGTACATCTTCAGTTGCTATGATGAAAATCATTAAGCTAAGCACTACAAGTGTTAACGTATGGAACTGTAATCAAGTAACTGAACTACTTTAAATTCATTCATCGAGATAGACATTCAAACTATCGAGGTTTTTAAAAGTAGGTAGCTACATGGTAAAAGAATCTGACGTAAAATATCAGTAGTGGTCTATCAAACCCATTTTACCTTATAACTAATCTCCGCAGATATCAAGTACAAAGATTACGTATTTTTAAGTTTAATGTAAAAGTGAACTTTGAAGGATTATATATATATATATATATATATATATATATATATAACACCAAAAAGCATAACTATGCAATGTTATGGGGAATGAGGGGTGAAACATTAAGTGGAAAGTTGATAATGATAATAGTGTTAAACAAAAATATTGCGTGAGTAAGACGTCTTAAATATATACAATGAATTAGACTTAGTGGAGCTCATAAACATTACTATTATGCTGCTGGGTCATACAAGAGTGATCACTAGTTTTAACGTACAGAGACGAAACCAAAGGCGCTTAATAACACTGGGCATTCCGTTAACCCTTAGTAATTTCCTAATTTTTTTCTGTGCTGCTTGTGAAGTGCCAAATGAAGTGGTGCATATTGTACCAGGTTTTTTAAGTGAACCGTCTGTCTTATATAATAACCAGCTTAAGTGAGTAATTCGAAGTGAAGTAGTTAAATCAGGAAGTGATAACTGCTATCACTGGAGTCTAACAATATATGCTGAAATTACGATCTAACTATTCTAATAACTCCGGTTTCGAAAACGCAGCATTTCATGATATTTGAAGAAAACATGAGGTGAGTTCAGACAACTGATACCACAAGATGTTACAAACACAAAGAAAGTTACTTGTTGACAGCCGCAAGTAGTTATAAGTTGCTTGTAATACTGGAATCCTAGAAGGATTTTAAATTACTATATATAAGTCCCTCAGTCCTACAAATAAACAGGAAATTTCCAAAATACACTTAATTAAACAGTAATACTTAGTTTTTGCCCCATTAAAAATACAATTCTGAAAACTTATATCTCCACAGGATGGCAAGAAGTGAATAAAGATACAAAAAACATGCAATGGAATAGTATCCTCAATGGTCACTGAAAAACTATTTATACAGAAACGTTTGACAAGACAAAGGAACTTACCAGTAGGAATGAATAGAAACAGCAGTAACCACAATAAAATTCATCATTGGAGTATCCATGTAAATCGCGATTGGATACAACGGCAACATACCGACAGCCAAAACACGTTCAATTGTCCAGTGAACTGATGGCAACAAACCAGTTCTTTGTACAGCAGGCGCTACATAATTCAGGAGTATGCATATGGTGACAACAATGAGCAATCAAGCCACAGTATGTAGAATTCATTCAACAGCTTTTAAGAATAAATTTCACTAAAGCACGAAAAAATATGCTACATTTCTCAGTGATGAGGACTGAGATACTAAGGTTTGTTTAAGTCGTATACCATAGTCTCTCCGAACTTGACTTATACATAAATATTTTTTAACATACACTTTATCAAATAAACATAATGCTCATCTAAGTGGTATTTGCCGTAAATCTACCTACACTACAATGTTATTTGCAAACCAAAACCTTGCTATGTTAAAAATGCGAAGGGGCAACACAAAGCAGAAACAATACCGACCAAATAGCCGAAACAACAACCATTGTGTCAGACTAGTAGTTTTATTTCCGAAACTTAGTAATATCCATTTGATGGACATAAATTCAACTAATAAGATTCGAACTGGGAGAAACATGAGTCCAGAATATCACTTCTGGACACTACTAACCAATCTCATCTTTTTTCTTCAAACAGCCACGACTTATACTGAGAGGTTTGGAGCTAGTTGCCAGAAGTAAAATTTAAGGCATTTTAACGACCAGCTTTCTAATCATCTTTCATCTAATTATGTGGAATGTTACCATATCTACAGACGTGTTAGTGATTGTCTGCATCCTGTTTTAAAAAAATAGTTATATAGACTGAATTCAACAATAAGAAGCACCGTAAGTCGTTGGCCATCAAACACACTTGAGAGGTTGACTGACCGTCGTACAAAAAAGGTCACACACAATTGAGGAATGCTACTATTTAGTGCTCAACATAACATGTGACGTTACCGTTGAAAATAAGGAAAGAAGTGCTACTTTATTTTCTAAACGCAGTATGACAGGAATTAATAAATGAGTCACACAAAATCAATAGTAGAACGAAGACAAGTGGGAAGAATGGAAATACATAGGGCTTACCACACAAAATACAGTCGCCGATTATGTGAAATATCGCGCGAAAGCTACTCGTTACGTACTTGAAACTGAGGACAGCAATATACAAAGGCAACATGAATTTACAATTGAGTCCCTTAAAACATTAATGGTAAATAGTTAGGTAATCGGTTTGATGTTTAACTTAACGATGTAGTACTTCGAAGTACTACATTTTTTTATCCGGTCGCATAAAAATGTACCTATTCAGCTTGCCACAATTAGAAGAAATGCAAATAAAAATCTTGCAATTACAATGAAAGGAGATGCTAGTAACGAAAAAGGAAAGCACCAAGTAAGTATATGTGAATTTAGGCAGTAGCTGACATTTGAGATACTACTTATAAGTTAACCACATAAGGCTAACCCAGGTGGAATTTTTTAGCGACAAAATCGTCGGGTTCACTCCCAAAAGTGGGACAGTACGGGGAACTTTCTGCAATGTGCTTAAAGTGTGTACCTGAGTTTCTGGAATGCGCCTGAAGTCCATGATACCTCGGTAGAGTGGAACAAAATCTACTCGACATTGCTTTGTGAATGAAACGTCTCCACGTCAGAAATTTGCGATGGAGAATATGCGGACCGAGTTACTCAATAGACACCCAAGATTACTATAATGCTGAATTAAATCTCGCTAATTCTGAACTAAATCTAACATTCTATAGTGTGTGTTCAGAAATAGTTTGATTATGTTCACGAACTAGAGCTCGGTGCTGGTTTTCAATATGATTGGCACTATTTCAGCACCCGGTGCTTCTCTAGGCATTTTCAGCAATAGCTCAGAACCAACTGGGTTTGTTAATCAGCGTCGTTTCAGTCCTCTCAGCCCAGATTCGGCACTAACTGATTTTTTATTACAGCTTAATTTCACACTGTATTTTTTTGGTACAAGCATGGAATTTTCAGCATGTGATGTTGGTGGCCCAAATTTTGCAGGCCGACCATTGATATCAGGTGTGAGTCGGCAGGGGATTGAACCCCGACCATGTGCATGGTCGGCGAGAGTCCTTACCACCAACGCACACTTAGTTCAGCACATAGTGGCGATTCTTTCAGTTTTATTTCACCACTTAATGCACTATTTCAGCTGCAAATCCTATTTTTTAGGTCTCGTTGCATTAATTAAGCGTGCTGTACTCTTCTTAAGAACGATCATTGTTATTTCAGCACATATTGGGTAGACAAATATTCATTAACCATAAAAGGGCTTTATCATAAGTTTGAACCGTCAATGCATTTAAATTAACACATATCCCAAGCTTACAGTAATTGTAAACTTATTCTAACCGATGCGTCAATCATGCCTTTTTATGGGAAGCTAATATTTAATCCACCCACTGTGTACTGAAATAACGCTGGTCGTGCTTAAAACGAGCGCTGGGTGTATAAGTAATGCGACAAAATCTTAAAAATAAGATCAGCGTCTGAAATAATGCTCATCAGTGCTGGATATTTGCTGAGAGGGCTGAAATTAAGCTGATAAAATTGCCACTGTGTGCTGAATTAAGCCTTTTCGTTCTAAAACAATGCTAGTCAGTGTTTAATATGTGCTGTGAGGGCTGGAAGAACGATGATAGGCAAACCCAGTAGGTTCTAACCTACTCCTGAAAATGCCTACGAAAAGGGACACCCTAGGGTTCTGAATTAGTGCCAGTCATGCTGAAAACCAGTCTGTGTGTTTAAAGAAACCTTTTTAGAACAAATTCAGAATTTACTCATCATAGTATTATTTCAGAATTAGCGAGATTTAATTCAGTATTATGGCAAGCTTGGGTAAATGTAATCCTTCGTTGTAACCTTACCAGTTCCAAGTTTTGTGGTTCTTAAAACGTAATTTTGAGAGAAAGAACAACATACTGGCCTTAAACTGCCAGATACTAGGCGCGAAGACAGCAGCCGACAAGGATTCACAACCAGCATCCCGAAATTGTGTACCGCAGCTTTGTAACCTTGAAAAATTTGCTGCAGTACAATATCCAATATCCCTTTATCGAGCTAGTGCACACCTAATTCATTACTTTGGACAGGCTGCTATGTAATGCTAAAAATGTGAAGTTCTCACGGCAGAGCTTCTCTGTGGTTAGTTCCTCTACTCACTTGCGGTAGCTGTCGTACACTGTGATGGGAGCAGTATTGGAGATTGGTTAAACATGGTTTGTAGTACATAATGTGTTAAGACTGTTCTTCTGACGTGACTGCAGTTATTCTTTTTACTCACTAGTCGTTGATGAGGTTGGAAAAGGGGGATTATAAGCACGAAGTAATTAGTGGAAAATGTTTAAAGTAGGGAGGAAAAACGAATTAACGAATAGAAAAAGTTCATAAAAATAAATAAATTGTGAATGAATGACTAGCCGGAATGATCAGAAGAGTAAAGTAAGAGGAAGTGATCATGGGATAAGTGCAGTGTTCGATGGCGATTTTATGACAAATCCCTGGTCTGAAGTGGTGCCAACTGTTTCGTCTGATGAGTATTTGCGCGTTTTGGTTTTTTCGAGTCAGAGTTAGGTTATTCTGTTTGATCTATGCAGGTGTACGTGACATGATTTCGATGTTTACTTGACTTTAGTTAAGCTTATTTTTCAAGAATTTTCGTTCGGCTTTGTTTCTATGTATGTATGCATAGCTTATAGAGCTAGGCGCCTAAATATATTTCGTGGAATAATTTTCTGAAATATCAGGTATGCTTAGCGTACATTTCCACGAGTGGCATCTGGATGACTTCTTTGCAGCTTGGTGGGCAGCCTGTCAATGTCCGAAGGTTCTCCAATCAGCTGATATCCACTACCTATTTCTAGTTCAGGAACCTAAAAATATAAGTATTCGAATTCATTCTACTGAAAACTTGTGTGGGGTTTTAGTTGTTGAGTGCCAATGGAATCCATAGTGGCAAGCAAAAACAGTGCTCATATCTGGATGGCAATAAAGTGGATACATGAACATTTGCAGTATTCATTACTTTCCGTTGCCTGACATTAATACACACTGAGACAACCTTTTTAATGCTTCGTTGCAATCATTACCATCATTTGAACCACTTAAGCATAGTCATTACCAACTAGGGGACGACAATCATCTGCAAAATCAATCATTTTTTGTCATCTTGTTTTCTTCTATGACTTCCCTCAAATTTTGCTGTTGTCCCGAAACTTCTTCATGTTCGTTTATGCAATGTGAATTTGCAGAAACATCTTGGAAGCAAATGGGAATAATTTTCCCATATTTTAACGACACGAACCTGAGGTTGACAAAACTCCTACTTTGTTCTGTTTTTCTGCCGAGAGTATTGGGTAACGCAAATGTCCACTGAAATAGTGGATTCGCTGTATTTCTCGCCACTTTGACCCAATAAACATATTGATAGTAGAACCTTTGTATTCATTCCATGAACTCGATTTCTTTTTTGGTCACTCTCTAGCTTCAGCGACTTCGTGGGCTTCATTGTCAAAAAAGTAGCCCCCACAGTATCACCGATCTTGTTTTTATGCTGGATTACCAAAAGTATTTCTTGTTTTTCGCTTGAATTTTATTCGTGGTGAGGCTGAACATCGACTTTTTCGAGTACCGTTAGCTATAGAGTTTGGGAAATTGTGGTCATTTCCCCATATTGAGTAGTACATTGCAAATAAACTTTCGCCTTTGAATTATGTTGTCGTCAATATGCGGTCTACTTAAGCTGTCTTGATAAATTTTAAAGTATTTATTATTATCAGTACCATTATACATATATATATTTATAACGAAGGAAACCAATGCAACAGTTAAAGATTAGAATTTTCTGTTCAAGTTGAAACTGGTGCTTATGTACAGCACAGTTCAAATCTCGAAAATAAAAACATCGACAAAGTGACAAAGTAACATCGTTTGAGTAGGTGCAGCTGGAGACAAAGTACACAAATTTTTAACACAATTAAAGGTCAGTTAAATTGCTAATGGTGTAGGCGATGTTTTGGTCAGTAGAGTCAAGGATGGGATCATATAAATCCACGTACGGACAAGCAAAACCAGAAAGTGGGCAATTATATGGCATGTCCCTTATTTGAAATGACGCCACCAGCTTCACCTTGGCGGCAATCGCTTGGTTTAGTTGATTCCAGTTGGGTCTAGATGACCAGGCAAATGCGGTTGATGTGATTTTGGTGCTTATTTTGCTCTTGTTGGATGAATTTATATGAAAATGCTCTTGGGCATTTAAGCACTGTTCGTGATAATAATATATTTTTTCATATAAACATAAATTTGAATGAAAATGCATGCCATTTTTGCAGGCGCGATTTTGTATGTTATAATCTCAAATCGTAGATTGTCTACAAGTTAATAATGTTTCAGCAGCTAAATATTTGATATACATATATATAAATAGACTCACTGTCTGAATCAGGCTGCATAATTATTGATTTGTACATTAGTCCTCCAGTTTGCGCGGGAAAACCAATTAGTTTCGTTTTCAACCCGTGGTTGTAGGCATACGATAACCAACCAATATTGAGGTAAGTAAAACGTTTACAAGGGATAGTAAGCTGTTTTAGAAAGGCAAAAGTGTTAAGGTGAATCAGTAAAGTGTAATGAAATAAGTAAGGGCAATGTATCATTAATAAATGCATTCATAAAGGGCATACAATAGGAAACTATGCAATCCCTAGGCTGATAACGTTCATTTGCAATGTATAATGCTAACCATATAGGTCTCACTATCATGGTGCTCATTATTGGTTTTAACACAATTATCCCCAAGCCGGTTGTTTTTATTTCATACCTTTTTGTTGTATTTGATGTACAACTGTACCCTACAGAGAATAGGAATAGAATAAGTCGAATCGAAATCATAAGGAGCTAGAAAATCTTAGGTTTAATGAGGTATAATGACGAGCAAGCAAAGACATCATTAGAAAATGACTGAGATGAGACATTGTGAAGTGATATTCAAAGGTCCGATAATGGGAGGCATGCTAATTCATAAGATATCTCATGAATCTGTGCAGAGCCCACGGGCTCGCATCTCAACAATAGGCTGAGCGAATGGTATATGTTTAAAGGCAGAACCGTCATCTGTCTAGGCTACCATTCTTATCTTTTTCAAGATAACGATCTAAGCTCTCATAAAAATCTCAAGCCGTCAAATTGCATATTGCTGTTCCTGCAGAATGGGGCGATTCACCTTAGTGACCACCACCATATCTACTGATCAGCATGCGCCACCCTTCCTCCCTTTATGATGTTAGTCTCTGAGACTATGATTGTTATGACTACAGCAAATATATTGCTCGGTGCCAGACACGTACCTTATATTCCATTTCCCTAGCTTTCTTAGTGAGTGCTTCCAGTA